ATCTAATAGGACAGTGATTAAGTCGCTTTTTGTTAAACATTGGTCATGGTCTAACTAAAAAGGAATAAAATAAATAAGATAGAAAATATTTGGATCACGCTCATTTGACGCGTTGTTGATTGGGACGAAAACTCTCGGCTTGACGCAAAACTTAGGAGATCGACGAATTGACTCGGCAGAGCAGCAGCTGGTGTTTTCAATTTGAAATCGAAGTATAATACGAATGGCGGAAAAACAAAGTCCCGAAAGTCGTCAACAACGATATAGCTTTTTGGAACTTGAAAACAAAAAATGTATCTTCAACACAGACAAGAATATTATCGAACTTTTTCAAAAATGGTAAGTAAAGACTAGGCCTAGCCCTTTTCTAGCCTAGGCCTAATTAATAAATAATAGTTCAGACAGGCCAGCTAGGCCCAGGCCAGGCTCGTAAATAGGACTCGGAGGCGGCGGCCACTAGGCCTTTTAGGCCCAGGCCCTAGACCATAGGATAGCCTAGATCACAGGTGGGAAAATGCGGCCTGACAGCGTTTTGTTTTTTGCGGCCCGCGATAATGAATTAAAAACCCTAGGTATGCGGCCCGCCAAGCAACATTGGCTAGAAAACACTTTGTTTTTTACTACCTGACACTGATTAGGCCTAGGCCCTAGGCCTATATAGGCCTATATGTGAAAAGTAACATTAAACTGAGAATAAAGTGGTGTAAAAGCAGTGCTCGGAGGTTTTTTTGGAAGCTCAATGGATTTTTAGACCTAATTTCTCAGTGCAGGCCCTGCTTTAATTGACGCTATTTTTTCTGGATTGGGAAAAGGCTTTGAATTGTGTGTGCCATCGTAGACCAAGACTAATACGTCTTTTCTCTTGGGTAGATTCTAGCAAGTTTTTTTTTGCATGGTCAGACCTCTGAGTGGGCTTAGGTTTATTCTGGAGTCGCACAGAAATCTGTACTTGGCCCGCTTCTACTAAATAACTTTGTATTTGACCTTTTACCTACTGTACATGGTAAAATCATCCAAATTTGGCAATATGCTGATGGCCCTGTTGTTTTCAGAACAATTAAAAGTGATCATGATTCCTGCCAACTTCAATATGACCTAAATTCTAGCTCCGATTGGTGCAAAGAAAATATAATTAAAAAGTGCAAAGTCCTTCATATTAGGCCAAAAAAAAATTGTTTGTTTGCCCTTCTCACATACCCCATAACTCACTGAAAAAAAAGATAGGGGTGGCAAAACAAAAAAACTTTAAAAGGGATTTTTTTTTAGCTTTTTTCTTTACAAATTAAAAAAAAAATGTGAGTGAATTGCTCTTTATTTTTGTCAGATGCCCTAAAAAGTTGTCTAAAGTTGTTGTCTGTTGTAAGATATTGCCATTCTAGGCCTATGTGGGTTATTTTTATTCCATCTGATGAGTAATTGTGTTAAGGGAGTGTTTAAAGTTATTTTTTTTTGTAAAGATGCTTAGTATAGGAGAGCCACTTGATAGTGTACAGTAAATGAACATCTTGTTTGTAAATTATGTATGTTTTGTCTTTTATTGAAATAATGAAATGTGTGTTTTCTAATTAGTAATTTAGTGTTGATTTACGCTTCAAAATATCATTCAGTATCTTTTACAAATTTTCAATTTTCAGGGGTGTAAAGATGCATGTGCAGTATTATAGTTATGATCAGATGTTTCAGTCTTACATGAAGGATGATTTCATGCAGGTACATATGCACTGTCAAGATCCTATTAACTAGGCCCCATACTGTAAAGTAATTTAATTACACGGATATATCTACCTCAAAACTAGTTTAAATTTGTGTGCAAAATCGCTGGGAAAATAGGTGTGTGCAGAATTGTAATTACTGCATATTGATTATGTGCTAAGAGATAGGTCTTTAATTTTCAGCAAAATTTGCAGATAAAGGTTTGCCTTCAAATATGTACATGCCCATAATCATAGAGGTATAAATAGATATTTAAAAATAAATTTTGTATTAATCTCTTGTGAAGAATTATTTTGGAGAACCAATATCATATTTCACCATCCCACTTTGACAAGGTTTTATCATGGCATCTCATGCATCAATGACCTAACCCAAATGACCTTGGTTTGTTGCTAGACGTTGTATGTTAAGAACTGATGAAATTAGTTTCTGACCATAAAAAAGGAGAATCCATAAAAATCAGACTCCACAAATTATGAACCAGGATAAAGGGGCTCACAGAATCTAACATTTATAACCTATTGAAATAGATCATACCCTATTTAAATATGCTATAAACTGAGTTAAAGACCACATTAATTTTTTACAGATTAATATGCCAAAAAAAAAACATTCTTAATTGCTTTCTAGGATTTTTTTCAAGATTCAACAGTCACAGCAACTTTAAAAGTTTTGAACAGCAAAGGCATTGCCACAAACTTAGGTACGTATTATAGTACTGTATGCCTATTTGAAACATGCCCTTCCAAAACCAGCATACTGTTGCTATTATTAGTGAAACTGTGTTATTAGTAAAGAATGTGGCAGTGTTGTATACTTGAGTACAGAGAAACTGCAATACTTTGGTAAAAGTAAAGTATTCTTATAATGGAGTGAATGTGAACAAGTTGAAAAGTACTGTAAATTTTCTATTTTTGTCACTGATGCTGGTTTTTTTATGGTACTGTATTCCCCATTGTTTACAAAGCATTTCCTTGATGATTAGTGAGGGTGCACTTCAACCACAACTTTAAGGATGGACAAGTTCTAGTTTTAGCTGGCAGAATAAACACTTTGTTGAAAAAATACATATCAGGGAAAAAAACCAAAAAACCAACTTATGCCATACTTCCATACGTACTGATAATAGGTGAACACCACATAAAATTCTCCTATAAACTCTCATGGTGCCAAACCATTACTCTAATACCTTTTTCAGGCAATGGTGTGGCTAGGGTTGAATCTACACCTGTAGCATGTACACAAACCTCTATGGCATTCTTTGATCGACTGCAGGAAGAATCAATTGTACGAGAAAATGGCAGCATTGCCAAATGTTTTGATGAATTTTATGAAGACTTTACAATCGCTGATGAACTAAGAAAGGTAAATTATGAATCCCTGTAACATTTGTATATTAATTTCTGTAAAGTTTATCATTTGACCTGAAAAACTAGGACCATTTAATCCAACTGCTTTTGTATTGTTTAGCTCTGTTGTAGCTCTTTTTTTGCTATAGTGTGACCCTACCTGTTTATCCCAGGTAAGCTGATATTCAGGGGCCCTTTTAAATAAATGAAATCAGATGCTTTATAAAGTCTCGTTACGAGGCTTAAGGAGTGGCGATGTTTCATGATAAAAAAAAATCCAGTGCTATCGCATGATTTGAACCCAGAACCCTGGGATTGGAAGGCAGGCATCTTAATCATCAAGCTACATAACTAGCTCTGTTTAAATTGCTTTTCATAAATGAATCTAACGTCAAATGTATTTCATTTTCTAGATGCTACTTTTAGAGGACTCGGATAATTATGAGGTATACAGTGATAAGGAAAGGGACGAGTTTCTATTCCGACTTCTAAAGCATATTAGCCTTGGTGGCCCAGTATGTCAATATGAAGATAATGTAACACCATATTTGGATACAACAAAAACATTATATAAGGACTTGATAAGGTAAATATTACATTGCTGAATGTTGAAAGGTGGTGTCTTAAATTCCTCCATATACAGAGGATGCCTTTTATATATTATTTTAACAGCTCTGCACAAACCACCAATTCTTTTATGCTCTGCCTTATTCTTTCCAAAATAATGAAAAGTTGCACATCAGTAGTTATACATTATATGATTAGCCCCCACCCCCCAATGAAAAAATAGAATTAATGAACCTTTAAAAATCAGTGTTAGTGAAATTTATATTAAATTATATATTTTTTATAGTGTCCACAAAGACAAGGATACAAAGCAGCTTAGAGTTTCTTCTGTTGTTTACAGATTGAAAGCTTGGGTAAGTTAATGTTACTCACTGTTGTGTATTGTACTGTACAAAATATGGGCTGCCCTGTCTGCAAATGGAACAGTGGAATTCAGATACTCGCGTTATTCTGATCGATAAATATTTGTTGTGCTGGAGCATTGAGTACTGTAATTGACTATTATGTTTATCACATTTTAATTTTAATATAATTTTTTTTTGCAGGATAAGGACAGTACCCTGATGTTTCCATGCGACACTGAACATCAGCAAAATGTTGCCTATATGATCATTGATCCACTTAAGCGACACATAACCATTTTGCATCACAGATGGGCTGGATCAGTTTGGTGAGCATCTGCTCAATTTGTATGACTATGACAAACAGGCTGGACTAAGTTGGTCTGTGCGAGCTGTTTTTATGTATTTTTAATACCACCTTATGACCTGCCTGCCAAACTTTTTGATTGTGGAAAATATGAAATGGAAAAAAGTTCATCATGTTCCTAAGTCTGTCTTTAGGACTATAAACCTTCATATAATTGATAATGCAGTGTGTATATATTGTTATGTATTTGTATATTGGAAAAAGTTGCGGCAATAAATGATAGAATCTTGACTACTGTATTTCAAGTATCCGTCCATTCTTTATGTAAGAATTGAATGACAATATGCTGGGCCATTTTGAAAATAAAATATGGAACTATATTTTCTCGATTTTGTAGTTTAATTTGTTACATTTATATCACAAACTCTTAATGCTTTATTACATAGACATTGCTATATACTGCACTAATATGTATTTGTCCGCATGATTTTCTGTTTTACTGTACGTCCTCCCAAATTGATATCGGTTTGTGTCCTATATTATGAAGCAAGCAGGTGTAATGGATAATTAGGAGATACAGAGACTATACTGTAGTGATAGTGATAACATTGATAATAATACTGCACATATAATTATCATGATACTCATCTGGGCTGAAGAAAAAGAAAGCAAAAATCATCGGATGTACAGTTACATAGACCCAGTCTACTATCCACAATTTTCTGCAGTATATTACCTCAAAAGGTTTTATTCCAACAACATGTCAAAATGGATACAGTACTGCAAACTTCTGGAAGGGGCTTTATTGCAAAAATAATGCAGTAAAATTCTGGTATAATCTTATCAATGAAATATAAACATTCTTTTTACAATATCTACACAAAGAATACTCAGCAAAATACATCATCGTTTAGATGCTCTTGGCATAATATATACTTTGACCGGCTTGCATAGTTGCAGAGCACACTGTTTTTCACTGTTACCAATCTGGGGTGCTAGAGGGCCTTTGGATCCATCCATCGTGTAGCCTAGCACAATACATATTTCAACCTGGCAAGGATCTGGACAAGAAAATAGAAAATCAATTTAGTCTGTATTTTTGTGAAATGGATATATAAATGAATACTACAACTGTACAATACAGTATACAAACACGTTCTTCAAAACTTCTTATTACCTGACCACAGAGAATGCGAGAGATACACTTGAGTGACAAGACGATGCCTGAGTGGGTTTAAATGTCGGAAGTCGGACATTCTTGGTGTAAACAACTGGGTTTGCGTATCTGGAAATTTTACCTGAATATATGTTGAAATAAGTAAGATAAATAAAATGTAAAATTAAAATAAATAATAAAGCTATTATACCTATCACACAGTTAACAAAAGGCGATTATATAGGGCTTGCCATGCCAAAAACCAGCATCAGTGACAAATCAAGAACGATGACTTTAACATACAGTATTCATATTGTCCTAATTATAAGCTTTAAAATGATGGGTCATTTAATGGAATCGACTTACTATTGTCACAGGTATGATTAAAAGTATTACAGCTTCTCTGTACTAAATAAAATACTGTCACATTCTTATGCTAATTACTCAGTTTAAAATTTATGTTGGTTTTGGATGACAAGCCTCATATGTGCCAGTTTCTCTTGTCTTTAGCATGTATAAATTGTCTTGATATTAAATATATAAAGGAACACAGCACTACTTATGTGGTTCCAATGTTCTACTGACAAGTGAACTTAACACCCTCACACACAAGCGTAAAAATATGGTTGCCTCAATTCTGGATTTTTTGCATTTCTATATTTATACTCATTAATACAGGATGAAAATATGTAATACTTAATAAACAAATTTGGCTTAGGTGAAGAGATTTTTTTTATCAGTAGCGGAATAGTAGTAGTAGGCAGGGGCTGATAGAGGAGTGGGGAAAGGTGCCAAGGTACTTGAGCATTATTCATTGAATTAAAACATTTTTAATGGGGCAGGGGGTGCAAGTTTTTTTTTTTTGGGTCGGGGTGTGCAGCACTGGTTTTTATATCTTCCCGATTTCAACTACAACTTAAGCTATGGCTCCATTTAAAAGTACAATTGTTTCAAAGGTTGTGGCATCTTTCACAACTATCAAAGTACAGTACACCAATATATTTTATTAATAACTCACCTGTATTTGAATGCACTGCACATGTTCAACATTTTCTAGCATACAATCAATGTTGAGTGCTAAAGCTAGTCCTGCCGTAAAACGCAACGGATTATCAGAGCCACCAGCAGGTTCAAATATCTCAGCCGAGGCCTGCTTCACTTTGTTGTCTAATATTAAACATGGAACTCTATGATGGAACAACAAAGGCTGCAAAAATTTGGCTAGAATCCCAGGCTTACTGGCTTCGAATTTGTGCATTTCAGAGAAAAGAGCTTGAGTGAAACTGTGAGGCTGAAGATTGTTAGCAGCAAAATATCTATAGAACAAAGTGTGGGTAAATTATTTTTTTATTTTTTAAAGTTTCATCATAAATAAATATATAGCAACTTATTATTTTTATTACCATTAAACTCGGCCTCTTTAAACTACTTCAGGGGTCCCAAATTTACCTGTAGATGCAGACGTCTCTATCTGGCTCACACACTCCTTTGAGATCTTAGATACCCCTCGACTATTATTATTATCCCATATTCACAATTGTTTGATAACATACCTCTGTAGTATATTCAATTTCAGGAGGTAGTTTTCACATTGTTGATGTATGCTATTTTTGTTCATCACCGACGATACATAGCGCCCTCGTAGTTGCACCAATAACTGTAGTGTGATTGCTCTTAGTCGCAGCTGATAAACAGAAGCCAAGTCTTGTGCACTGCAACCAATGAATAAATGTTCCAGCTGATAGGAAAGGTCAATTACCTTTTGGAAAAAAAAAATTAATTTAAATTACTGTAAAACAATACTGTAACACTGTATGAAATTCTTTATTCAGTGGTTAAAAAAATGTTTTTGTGAGTTACTAACACACTATTACCTAGTATAGGGCTAGTATATGCCATGAAATATACAGTTTAATTCATTTTATACAGCCACAAGGTATCTCTACGAAAGTAAACTACAGTTATTACTATAGCCCATGAGCCTGATAATGCAAACTAAATAATTGCCAACAATATAATTAATAAATCAGGCATAAAAAATAAAAATAAAACAGAAGGAAATACAAAATTACATTCAAATGGTCACACATTTCGGAATCGGAAATATAAAAAACCTAGTATACTTTAGATGGCCCTTTTGGCAGTTTTTGTTTCAAATGGATAATGGACCCAACTGATATGTTGTGTAAATACACTTCAACCCAGTGTTTGCAAAAAGCAAAATATTAACATTCCTGCCTGCTGTATTGTCTCATCATCTATTTCACCTTTGTGATTTAAACACAAGTCGGCCTTAGAGATTCTTATATTATACAGTATATCGGGTGTTTTGTGGGAAATCAGACTGTTTAGACTCTTAATTAGGTTCATATTAATAAGAAGCCAGATTTTTAGGTGTTAATAGTTAGTAATGGACAGTTGTAATAAAGTACATTTTACATATATACATTATCTGCATTTTGAATCTACTATATTGCCCTGACTTTAAAATAAGCACTTATTTCAAATGTTAGGCTGAATGGGTCCATTTTATGGTGGTTAAATTTCCAAAATTCCAGCCTGTAGGTTCTTAATTCACAAGGTTCTTATAAGCAGATATTTAATGTATTATAGTTACCTTCTTTGTGGTTGCTGAAACTGTCAGATTATGCTGTGGGCAAAGTGGGGCTGGTACCAACCACTGTTTATCTTTCATGGCCTGTGGAATGAGAAATACAATTCAGACAGAGAGAAAGAGAGCTTGGTATAGTTGCATACCGTAAAACCTCAAATAGAAGCCCCAGGGTTCTTTTTTTTTTTTGGATGGGCTTCTTTTCCGAGATTATTCACAAGGTAAAAAGGGGGGGGGGGCTTCTTCTCAAAATGAATGCTGTGTGTAAATGTTGTTAATTACTACTATAAAACAATAAATAGGGCCACAGTAACATCATTCTGTAGCATGGAGTGTATTAACAAGCATTAAATCACCTAAACTACTGTATAAACCAAGCGTGTTTTGAATATATTTTGTTTCTTTGAAATTCGTGTACAGTGTATGTATCGTACTAATTCGAAAAGAAGCCATTATGCTATCTTGCAAAGAAGCACATGGGCTTCTTTTTGAGATGGGCTTCTTTACAATGCTACTTTTGCCAACAAGAGGATGGGCTTTAATTTGAGATAGGCTTCTCCTTGAAATTAAGCCCATTGGGCTTCTATTCGAGGTTTTACGGTATGTAATTAGAAATGTAGACAGAGATAGTGGGAAGTATCCCAGTCTTTAGCATTTAGAATGTAAAAAGACGCACATCGTGTTGTTGCGTTCTTCATAGATTCGCATTGGCCAATGGCTGGCGGGTGCAGTGAGAGCCCGGCTTTAGTCCTGCTACAACCAAAAAGTAAAAAATTTGATTATCTGGTCCCAGTTACAGGACTTAAAACATCTCCCAATTTCAGGTAGGTTTAGCAGTTAAATAATATATTTACCTTTGTTAACAACAACTGACACTGTAAGTAAAGTGAGTAAAATTCTGCTGAAGCTACCAAGTTCTGATCAAGTTCAACAACACGTCGCAGATCTCTGAAAATTAAAAAAAGATGCAATTAAAATGTGTAAGAGGCATGTCTAAAGCCCTCTTCATCTATCAAATTTTAATCCCGGTTCCACACGATAAGTACTCCACTCCTCAGATTTAAAATAATCCTAAAAGGATAAAACGATCAGTTCTCAACTGATTATGAAAAACAGGTTGTACAGTATGGAAGGTGATTAGTAGTAGCTTTGTTGGACTAATTATCTTTGTTAAATATGGTTTTAAATGTTATTTTACTTTACCTAATAGTTGTTTCCATGAGCTTAATTGCAGCTTCCATGTCCAGACGTCCAACCTGTTCAAGTTTTTCAAGTGATTGTTGCAAAAATTGCTGTGGGCTGCGGTTGCCAGAGATGGACATTATATCTTGTGAGGAAGACACTGCCTGTAAATGCTACAAAATAATGATAAATAATAGTAATAATAACAATAATATATATATATGTACTCTATGTATAAATTATGTGAAATTATCTTAAATAGTTCTCATCCACTATGAGATTGTAGTTACATATCAGATAGACTCGCAGAATCAAAGCAAACTCATTCATACAATCCCATGCTACCTCTAAACTATCAAATCCTACCCTACCCTACCCTACCCTAATCTATCATATCCTACCCACCCTTACCCAATTTTATATCCCATCCCATTCTATCCATAGTATCCTATCCTATCTCATCTTATCTCAATGGCTCCACTCTGATTGTGTTTATAAAACACATATCAAAACTTTGAAGATTAACAGAATGCAGTAGACAGCCTTTAAGGCTTTCATATAAAAGTAATACTTACCCTGACATTTGGCACAAGATGTGGCAGACTATCCCTCAGGTAAGCATAGTGTCTCCTTGTGTATTCAGGGAATAGTGCAGTCATTGTGGGCTGTGTTACAGCGGAATTGAAGATTAGAATCATCACACAAATATCTGTAGTGAAGGCAAGCTGAGGAAATTTCAGAGATAATTAAGTTATGTTCCAAATGTAAGATAAAATGTTGACCTAAACTTCCTTGGCCCTACTACCCTAAGAGCTGGGTCCAAGTAGCTCAACCCAGTAGCTCACTTCAGCATTTTTTACATTTTACAAGGGCACATTTTGTTCTTTTTAAACATTCTGTTCATTAAACAAGTCCTCTCAGCCAACTTGGAGCAAAAAGAAAGTGCTGATGAATATGTCAGTGCTCCTTAAAGCCAGGCTCAAAAGCAAAAATATTTTTCTAAGACACAAAAAGAACATTTGATGAAAAAATCTAGGGAGCAGTTAATGAGATACAGATTTTTGAATATTTAAACACTGTGGGAAAAAAAAGGGGGGGGCATAACCACCTTTCCCCCCCCCCCCCTAGTTTTTAAATGTTCAAAAATCTGTATCTCATTAACTGTTTCCATGTTTTTCTTCAAATGTCCTTTTTGCATCTTAGAACAGTTGTACAACATATCAACATTTTTCCCTCTGGAGCCTGGACATTGCAGAGGTATTTGAAGAAATAGAAATTGAAAAAAAAACTGAGGAAACCAGTTAACTGGAGGTATTTATACCCTCAGTTTATACAGTTTTTAAATTTTAGCAAATCAACCAGTTATTCGAAGGAAGGATACAACCAGGATCATCCATGTCTGGTTCAGGAATGTCAAAGTATGGATGCGTTCCTAGAAGCTCTGGCACAAGGGTCAAGGTCAGGTCAGAATGATTTTCACCCAGCACCTTTGAACACCTGTAACAATCATTAAATTGTAAATCTTTAACACCTGATTGTATAACACTGCAACAATCATTAATTAAATCACCAATCTACCAATGAACTAATAAAAATTTAATTTAGTATATCAG